TGTGTGTGTGTGTGTGTGTGTGTGTGTGTGTGTGTACGGGGTGCTCAGCTCAAGTGGTCAGGGCAGGCCTTTTGAGGAGCCACATCTGAGATGAGACCTGATGCGGGAAAGGAGGAAGCTGCAGAGATCTGGGAGAAGTGCTTTCCAAGCAGAGGAAGCAGCAAATGCAAAGGCACTGAGGCAGGGACACGCTTGGCCTATCTGAGGGGTAGAAGGAAGGCAGTGGGGCTGGAGTGGAGGCGGTGGGAGACCGAGGTTTGTGAGGAAGGCAGGGGCCCCACATGCAGGCCTTACAGGCCACGAAGGAGAACTTGGCCTTTGTTCTGAGTGCAGTAAGGAAAGCTCCAGTAGAGAGCTCACTGCAACAGGAAAAAGGGCCCATCACAGTGAGCTCGATGCAGAGGCAAAGCCTTGGGTTGTTGGAGACGTCCCGAGGGCCAAGTGGTTGCTGCTTCTCAGATCTGCCACGGCCCAGCCTCCTCAGTGTATATCCAGGGAGGCAGAGGCTATAAATAAACGTGGAAAGAGCTGTCTTTAGAATCTCCACGCTGAGGCAACCTCCAACAGAAAGGTGGACAAGAGAGAGGAAGCCATCCCCCTGTTCTGCTAGTTAGACTGGGCAAATGTCAAGCATCTGTACAAAGATACCCCAAAATGCAATGATTTGTTTCTCTGTTTGATAATCATCTGGCCTGTTGAGGCTGGTGGCTCCCAGCAAGGTCAGCACAACTGGGGGGTCAAGGCCAGGGCGGGGGGAACGGACTGCGAAGCAATGACAAATAAATTCAGGGATGACTCTGGCTCTTGTGGGCCCCCGGGGGCCCTGATGACCCCTCCCTCTTCTAGAGAATGCAAAACAGATGAGAAGAACGTTCCTTTCATCTCCCAGCAGACTGCAGCCAGCTCTGTGCAAACTTGTCCTCGTCCTGCCCTTCCAGTTATGCTGGAGAACTTTTTCAAATACTTTTCAGTTATTGGGAGGATTGTTAATTTCCCAGATTCTTTTTCCCTGCAAGGCGAGGTCGGGGCAGCCTGACGGGTGGGAGCTGGGAGGCTGCCTCTGAGAGAGGGGGAGGCAAGAGACTGGTGTTTCCTTCGGTTCCATCCTGCTGCCTCTGTCAAGCAGTGTGGTCCCTGCCTGGGGGCAGTGGGCCAGCACGGGGGCCAGAGAAGCCTGGCTGCCGACCACCTGCTCTCTCGGATCTTGGCCTCGGTCCCCTGCTTCTGCTCACAGCGAGGACCCGTGTCACGTCCTGCCTGGAAGAGCGCCTCTCATTGGGTCACGTCACCTCTGTCTCCTTCCCTGGGGTCTTGAGGGAGCCCTTAGAGTGAGTGATGATAACGATCAAAATCTTACAGTGACATGGCAGTGTTGGGACAGTCTGAAAAGATAAACTTCCAGAGGGGTAATTGCAAAGAATCCTTCTGATGGATGCATTGAGCTCTGCCTCCAAAATGCAGCTGAGAAAGCACCTAGAAGGTGCTGTGCCCGCCAAGCATCCCAGATACTGTGAGAGGAGAGTGGGTCCCCAGGGTTTGGGGACACACCTGGGCCTCCCAGACATCGCTGAGAGGGATCTTCCAGGGGTGTGGATTTCCCAGGTGAACAGCCAGAGGACAAGGGTATGTTGGCCTGATTATGTAGTTAGTGTAGAAGCCAGCACTCTGGAGTCATTTCTCCTGTTCCTGGAGGCTGCCCCTGACCTTGGTCACCAGTGAAGTTCATCACTTGTTCCTACAGCAGCCCAGAGGCCTGCTGGGAATTCGTCCTATTCTTGGCCCCACAAAGACAGAAATGAGACGTGGCAAGACTGTCTCAAATAATCTCAAACCCCACACGCCTATAAACATTAACGTGACTGGTTTTTGATGTCCTTAAAAGTAGTTTTTGTGGGTAACTCATGGGAGCTACATTAGTGGTGAGCATAGTGTAACATATGGAGTTGTGAAATCTCTGTGTTGCACGCCTGAAACTAATGTTACATTGTGTGTCAACTATACTTTAATTTTAAAAATACTTTAAGGGGCGCCTGGGTGGCTCAGTTGGTTAAGGGTCTGATTTGGGCTCAGGTAGTGAGCTTACAGCTCACCGGTTCGGGCCCCACATCAGGTTCTGTGCTGACAGCTCAGAGCCTGGAGCCTGCTTCAGATTCTGTGTCTCCCTCTTTCTCTGCCCCTCCCCTGCTCATGCTCTGTCTCTGTCTCTCTCTCAAAATAAACGTCACAAAAAATTTTTTTAAATATGAGTCAAAGTAATAGATAGATAGATAGATAGATAGATAGATAGATAAAGCGATTGATTAAATAAATAAGAGTCGAAGTATAGTTAAATAAGCCAGCCAGGATCACAGAGCTGGTGCAGACACGAATCAAATCAAATTCAGACGGTCTGACTCCAGCGCCTGGCCTTAACTACTGCAGTGTGATACAATTGTTCAGAATTTCCGGAATGGAAGCAGCAAAATTAAAACACAAACAAATCTCAGACTTAACTTCCAGCTGACTTTAATAAAACCTATGTGGATGGGTGAGGAAAAGTTTTTGCCTCTGAAGTTTTTACCACTTTTAGAATAGGATTTTATGCATGTCGACCAATTCTTTCTTTTACTGAGAGATAATTGACGTACCACGGCATGTTAGTCTTAGGGGTGCTGCATAATAATTTGGTCGTAGGTGTATATATTTAGACATTATTTTTTTTTAACCATTTCAAAAACACCAACAGCACATTTATTCCAGAATGTGGGTGGTTTGATATTTCCTGCTAAGAAAGACAAGGTATGCTCACAGCAAAAAAATAAAAATAAAAAAAAAATAGTACATAAAGTGTAAGTAAGAAGATAGGGGCGCCTGGGTGGCTCAGTCAGTTAAGCGTCCAACTTCAGCTCAGGTCATGATCTCCTGGTCCGTGGTTCGAGTCCGGAGTCAGTCTTTGCGCTGACAGCTCGGAGCCTGGAGCCTGCTTCGGATGCTGTGTCTCCCCCTCTCTCTCTGCCTCGCCCCGACTCGCACTCTCTCTCTCTCTCTCTCTTTCAAAAATAAACATTAAAAAATTCTTTGAAAATAAGAGGATAAAAATCATCCTAAATTCTGTGACCCAGTGATAATCTTTGGTACAGTTTGGCCTTCTGGAGATCCTCGTTATGCATATATATACACATATGTCTTAGTCTCTATGTATGTATCATGTATCTATCTATATCCGTCTGCTTCCATATCGATAAATACAGATCCCCATATCTCTTTAGCAGCTGTGTGGTAGCCCATTGTGCAGGTGTGCATTGTTCAGCTACTCAGTCCCAAATGGATGGGTCTAGATGTTGTATCCGGTTGTCATTTTTTAAATTACAAACAAGCTGTGACGAAAACCCTTAAGCACACGTCTTCTTGCGTGTGCCCAATTATCTTCTTAGAATGTGTCTATCGGGCTGAGTTTAGAGAAAAATATTTTTTTTTAAGGGAGAGAGAGAGAGAGAGAGAGACAGGGAGAGGGAATCTTAAGCAGACTCTCACAACCGTGAGATCATGACCTGAGCCAAAATCAAGAGTCAGACACTTAATCAACTGAGCCACTGAGGCGCCCCTTCGCATCTTGCTTATTTTTTTTTTTAATTTGAGAGAGAGAGCGACAGAGAGCGAGAAAGCGCTCACACGAACTGGGGAGGGGGCACAGGGAGAAAAAGAGAGAGAGAGAGAGAGAGAGAGAGAGTCTTAAGCAGGCTCCATGCCCAGCATGGAGCCTGACCTGGGGCTCGATCCCCCAACCATGAGCTCATGACCTGACCATGAGATCTTGACCTGATCAGAAATCGAGAGTCAGACACTCAACAGACTGAGCCACCCAGGCGCCCCTGGAGAAAAATCTTACCCTCTCGTGGAGGATATACAGCAGCTCTTGTCCCAGCCAGTCCAGCTGCTGGTTCTCACTTCTCTGCAAACCCAAGGGCCCCCCAACTTCTCTGAACAGTGCTTTCATCCTGCTTGGGCCTCATGAGGGCGTAGCACAGCCTGAAATCCCAAAATGAAGCTGTCCTCACTGGCCGCCGGCGGGGGTATCTGGCCGGGGCGGGGGGAACCTTTGCCTGTCCTCAGCTGGGGGATTTCCAAACCCTGAAATTTCCCTGTTCGGACAGACATAGTAATAGTTTGACCACAGAAACCTTCTGCCATCTGCCCTCTTTCCCATCCGTCAGGGCCGGGCTTGCACGTAATGTTTTTCACTCTGTGATGGGCTAGAACATCCCATCTGAAGAGAGATAAGGAGGTAAAGGAGTTGGGCCCAGAATTCTGCCAATAGAGCCTGTGAAGGCTTGGCCAAGACAGAGGCCCGGTTCCATGGCCCACTATTTCTTATATTTGCTGCACCAGCCAGGCTCGAGGCTGGGAGACCCAGGCTGTGCCCTTGACGAGCTAGCTAGTAGAGGAGGCAGACCCATAAACGGGCTACTGAGAGAGCTATCAGGGTGATGAGAAACCCGCTCTGGGTTTTGTCGGAGGGGGCGTGGGGGACGGGAGGGCCTACTCCGTCTTCTTTAGAGAGGGCAAGACCTACCACACGGTATGTTTCTAAAGTCCACTGGCAAATCACTCAACACAATATTCTCAAGTGTCCACCATTCACCAAATACTCTGCTGGGTGCCGGGGACCGATTTTTGTTATCATAGCAACAGAAGTTTCCGTTATCATCGCAATGGTTTGACAGTGACGTCAGTCTTCCTCTGGCACAACTAAATCACCGGCCATCTAGAAAGGCGGGGACGCTCGGATGCCCTTGGGCCTCGACAGGAGGGACCCAGGAACTAGAGAGCCACCAATCAGTTGTCCCCCAAGAATCCTTTATAGCTGGGTTTTCTACATTAGGATCCAGGGCCCAACCTGCTCACGTCCCTAAATCTTTCTCAGTTGAGAACATCCCCTATTTTCCTACCGTGCATTGAAGAGATTAAGCTCCTGTTTTGTAGAACATTCTGCCTTCTGGATTCGTCTGATTGGTTCCCAGTGAGTTTAACTCGTCCTTCTGTCTCCTGGGGAGCCAACAAACCAAACAAGCAAAAAGTCTGTGAGGAGAGAGAAGACAGGAGTTACAGAGTCACAGGCATCACATAACGGGGATGTCTAGAACATTCCACCAAGTAACTGGAGACATCACGTACTTTTCAAGAACCCCTGGAACATTTGTTAAAACTGGCCATTTATCCCGCCAAAATGCAGTCTTTGGTTAATGTCAAAAAGCCAGGTTGAATAAATAACATTTTCTGACCACCGTGTAATTCCAGAAGTTAATTGCAAGGATATATAGAAATGAAGGGGCGCCTGGGTGCCACAGTCAGTTAAGCGTCGGACTCTTGATTTCAGCTCAGGTCATGAGCTCACAGTTCGGTTCATGAGCTCGAGCCCCACATCGGGCTCTGCACTGACAGCGTGGAGCCTGCTTGGGATTCTCTCTTCTCCTTCTTTCTCTGTTCCTCCCCTGCTTGTGCTCTCGCTCACTCTCTCTCAAAATAAATAAATAAACTAAAAAAAAAACCCTCCCTTTAAACAATTCCTGAATAAAAAAGAAAGCAAAATGGCTTTAGAATATATGAGAAATGAACAATAATAAAAACTTGACATAGAATTTACAAGAGGCTTATACGAGATTAAAAAAAAAAAAGGCCAAAAATCAATAAGCCAAACATTCAGCCTACGAAGTTAGTAAGAGAACAGCTGAATAAACCCAAAGAAAGTAGGAAAAAGGAAATGTAACAGATAAGAGCAGAAATCATTGAAATAGAAACAACCACAAAATAGATGTGAATAACGAAGCCAACTCCTGGTTCTTAGAAAAGACTCATAAAACTGGCACATGTCTGGCCGGTCTCATTAGAAAACAAGAAATGGAATCCATAAACCCTTGAAAGGAATTGAAAGGAAACATGACTTCAGACAAAGAATAAATTAAAAATACAGTAAGAGGACATTATGAGCAACTTTTGGCCAATGATTTGAAACTTTATTTTATTTTTTTTACTATTATTATTTTTTTTTAATTTTTTTTTCAAAGTTTATTTATTTTTGGGACAGAGAGAGACAGAGCATGGACGGGGGAGGGGCAGAGAGAGAGGGAGACACAGAATCGGAAACAGGCTCCAGGCTCTGAGCCATCAGCCCAGAGCCCGACGCGGGGCTCGAACTCCCGGACCGCGAGATCGTGACCTGGCTGAAGTCGGACGCTTAACCGACTGCGCCACCCAGGCGCCCCTCGAAATTTTAAATCGAATTTTCCACGTTTGTTCCCACAAGTAATAAATTTGGCTCCAGAAAAAAAATTTTTAATGTGAACAATGTTGTAACCATTTCAAAAATTGAATCAGTAGCCACTACACTGTGGAATCGTAGGCTCAAAAGTTGAATTGGTGATCAAACGTCTTCATATCAAAGAAACAGCAGAACCATACTTTTTTTTTTTTAGACTAGGGAGTTTCACCAAACATTTAAGGATTGAATAATTTCATCCTAACACAGAAACTCCACATATGATTTTAAAAATTCCAAGTAAACTAAGAATATAAAGAAACTCTCTTGACTTGATAAAGGATTAAAAAAAAAAAGCTACATATTTGTACACCTGCTTTCTTTGGGTATTTTCCTGTTATGTATTTTTCACTTTTTTCCTTTCAAATTTAGATTTTGTGTTTCTATCAAACCTGACAAATACTCACCTTAAAAAATTTTTTTTTGGGAGAGAGAGAGAGAGAGAGAGAGAGAGAGAGAGAGAGAGAATCCCAAGTAGGCTCCACGCCCAGTGAAGAGTGCCACGCAAGGTCTCGATCTCATGAACAGTGAGATCATAACCTGAGCCAAAACCAAGAGTCCGGCGCTTAATGGACTGAGCCACCCAGAAGCCCCTCCCCTTTTTGTTGTTGTTGTTGTTGTTGTAAAATGCACGTAACATAAAATTAACCATTCAAAGTGAGCCATTCAGTGGCATTTAGTACACTCACAATGTTGGGCACCCCTCACCTCTATCTAGTTCCAAAACATTTTATCACCCCAACAGGATATCCCAGAGCCATGGCAGTTACTCCACATTCCTCTCATCCCCGGCCCTTGGCAACCACCAGTCTGCTTTCTGTCCCTATGGGTTTACCTGTTCTGGATATTTCATATAAATGTAGTCATACACCACGTGACTTTTTTGTCTGACTGTTCTCTTAGGCTACTGTTTTCAGGTCTATCAATGCTGTAGCATATGCCAGTATTTCATTATTTTTTATGGCTGAATTCTATTCCACTGTATACTATAGTTTATTTGCCATTCATCCACTGAAGGAAATTTGAATTGTTTCTACCTGTTGGCTGTTGTGAGCAGTGCTACAGCATTGTTCAGTACACATGAACGTGAGTGTACGTGTGTTTATTTGGATACCGATTTTCCATGCTTTGGGGTAGCTACCTTGGCATGGAATCGCTGAGTCCCAGGGTAATTCTGTGTTTAACTTTTTGAGGAAATGCAAAGCTATTCTCCACAGTGGCTGAACCACTTTACATCCCCACCAGCAATGTACAATAATTTCAATTTCTCCACATCCACGCCAACACTAGCTATTGTCTGTCTTTGATTATAGACATCTCAGTGGGTGGACAGTGGTATCTGATTGTCATTTGATTTGCATTTCCCTAACAACTAATGATGTTGAACATCTTTTCATGGGCTTATTGACTGTGTGTATGTCTTCTCTTTTTTTCATTTTTGTGTCTTCTTTGGAAACATGTCTTTTCAAGTTCTTTGCTCATTATAAAAGCTCTGTTATGTGTCTTTTTGTCGTTGAGTTGTGAGAGCTCTTTACATATTTGGATTCTGGACAAAATGGAGTGTAAAATGGTACGTTTAGAGCTGAGAGACAATAGCTCCAGATATATGATTTGCAAGTATTTTCTCCCATTCTGTGGGTTGTCTTTTCAACTTTCATGATAGTGTCCATTGAAATACAAAAGTTTTAAATTTGGATGAAGCTCAGTTTGTCTATTTTATTTGTTGCTTGTGCTTTTGGTGTCATATTTAAGAAACTATTGCTTAATCCTAAATCATGACAATTTTCTTCTGAGAAGATTTTGCTCTTTAGGTCCTACTCCATCCTCGTACTCTCCTTATCCTTCACTTCATGTTTCTTTATTTCTCTCTTTTTATTTTATTTTTTAAAAATCTTTTTAAATATTAATTTATTATTGAGAGACAGATGGAGCATGAGCAGGGGAGGGGCAGAGAGAGGAGACACAGAATCCGAAGCAGGCTCCAGGCTCCGAACTGTCAGCACAGAGCCTGACGCGGGGCTCGAACTCACAAACTGCGAGATCATGACCTGAGCTGAAGTCAGACGCTCAACCGACTGAGCTACCCAGGCGCCCCTCTCTCTTTTTATTTTAGAGAGAGACTGCATGTGCAAACAGGAGAGAGGGGCAGAGGGAGAAAGAGAGAGAGAGAATCTTAAGCAGACTTCATGCTGAGCAGGGCTTGATCCCACAACAACCCTGGGATCATGACCTGAGCCAAAATCAAGAGTCAGTTGCTCAACCGACTGGGCCAGTGAGGTGTCCCTCTTTATCTCTTTTTCACCATCCTTTACACCAGCCTCTCTACTCTCCTTCACACAATCTCCAAGTTCAACCAAAACATCCAGAGACTGGACTCTTGGCTGGCTCAGTCAGTAGAGCATGTGACTCTGGATCTTAGGGTCATGAGTTTGAGCCCCATGTTGAGTGTAGAGATTACATAAATAAATAAATAAATAAATAAATAAATAAATAAATAAAGCTTAAAAAAAAAACATCCAGAGACTGGCTTGCTGCTTCCCACAGTCTCCCCAACTTCACACAAAGGTTTGATTTCAATGCCATGGATTTGTTTCTATGTAAGTCTCCACCACTTCCTTCTTTTTAGTTTATACAATAGAAGCATAACGACACAGTGCCTTGCCAGCTCCTACAAAAGATCT